TCAAACACCCATAATAATGATTTTCTTTATTTAAGTAATAAAGGTTACCTTTATTTTTCCTGAATCAATATTATCAAATTGCCTTTTATCCAAAGGCCTTTTTCCTAAATTGAAATTTCTGAACAATCTTTTTTCTAGAGAACATCAGTGAATTTTCAGCAATTTGGTTTTACTTTGGTGATATTTTTTCGTAATATTATAATTGCAACGATTTATCGGTTAATAAAGTTTTTAGGTGTTTCTTTTTATTTTCTGAAAGTTCAACTAAAGTGCAATGTATTATATGTATGTTGTCCGCGTCGTAGATTAACGCCTGCTATAGTCGTGTCCTATGGTAATGCTAACAAAGGTCTAAAGTATAATTTTGTATAATTATAGACCCCAAAGACGCGTAACCAGTCATAAACCAGTTATTTGACGGGGATTAAAAAATATAATCATATATTTTTTTCTATTAATAGTATATTGGTGCGAGTATCAAATATTATTATTATATTATTTATGTTTCATTTTTGTTTAGAAGATATGTATCACTTTCAATTAAATTTGATTTATTTGTTCCATACATTTAGTTAATTCAAATTTAATTACATAAATTTAAATAGCCTACTTTGTTTTCTGACTAGTTTTTGTTTTCCCTATTATTTATAGCTAGTGTGCGGGATTAATTGCACTTAAAAAGAGTCAAATATGTAAAATAAAAACGTAAAATGGGCACTTTTTCACTATATAAGATGATAAGAAAGTGTAAAGTGTGATAACACAAAAACGTGTTAATTAAAACAAATCATTGTTAAAAATTATTAATTATGCAAACTACTTTCTTTGTAAATTTTAAATAACACTATAGATTATAATAATAAACTTAATCTGTTGTTTCTTTGTTTTACAGGTAATGTAATAATACTAATTTAAATAAAATTTGTTATTAATAAATAACTTTGTTTTACAGAGAAACCAGTTGTTATTATTATTATTAGAAAATATTATTGTTAAAGATAATAACCCCATTATATATATTTTTTCAAAGAAAAATAATATCATATTGTTAATTGTCTATAAAACTTAATATTATAAATATTTTATGTTATAAAAAATAGTCTGTAATATAAAATTGTATAATTACTTGTAATTAAATATAAATAAATGTTTTTTAATATAATTATTATTTTAAGATAAATCGAATGGCTAGCGTTAAAAGAATCATCTTGTATATATTTTACTGTAAAAATTACGTTAAATCCCGAGACGAATTAAAAAGCTCTCATTGGTTAAATTTGAAAATTAAAAAATGTTTCAATAATAATTTAAATTTGGCCTTAAAGATTTCAGAAAAATAATTTAATGTATTACTTTAAAATATGTATAAAACTTTAACAGATACCCCTCGATCTCCTAAGAATTTAAAGAAATACATGCGAAGTTGAGAAGGTATTAATTTTACCATAATATGTATATTTATTTATTCATTTTTTTGTGTATCTGTCACTACTTTTTCTCAGCTCTCACCTAGACCGATTTTTCTCAACGGTATGTCAAAATATCTCAAATCATATCTAGTTTGAAGAAATTATCCTCAAAAATTGAAATTGATCCCTCGTTTCCTATATATGGTGGAAATAACTAAAAAAAATTATGATTTTTAAAATCAGTAAATTTCGACATTTTTTCACTATTTCTTATAAAAATTTAAATAATTTATTAAAAAATGATCGAAACAAAATTATTATTTTTTTATATTAAAACCTTAGGTATTTCCCTTTCATTTTATATAAATTTTTTGAAAATTTGACACTTTAACTGCTTACGGGGGATTCAAAATAACAACACTTTTACAAAACTCAACGTTTTCAATTTATATTTTGAAAATTTTTGGAAATACTGTATACTTTAAACATATGTTAAATTAATGCTAATTTTATGTACTATGAATTAAAATTAAAAATTTTACAGACGACCTATCATCTACGTACAAATGGTAGCCGTAGTTAAAAAAACATGCAATTTTAGTGTTAAAATTTATTTTTTGTTTATATTAAATGATCAATACGAGGGTTTGTTAAAATTATGAGTCTATCAATTTTTATAAAATTTACATTAATCTAACTAACATTAATTATAAATTTAACTTATTTTGTTTATATTTCCAACTTAATAACAGTATAAAATTCGTGTCTAACCTGAATAACGCAGTAAAATCATATCAGTAAAATAAAATATTTTTTAATGATTATAACCAATATATATTTTATTAAAATACATTTTTACGCTGATTTCAAGTCACTCCTCTTTTCCTCTTTTTTAAGAGTATTACGAATTAGGCACACATGAAAAAATTAATTAATATAATTTTTGTCAGGTATTATCTATACTTATCTCAACTTTGCCACCTCCACACTGTGCCGTGACCCAACTGTGCATCGTTTATTTAAAATGATCGTGGATAAGTCATTTTAAAGGTGTAGGTTATCAAAAACACACTACAGACACAGCATACTAATTAATATAAAATATTTAGTACCTAATATATCATTGTTGCAATAATCGATATACTAGTAAAAAATATAAAAAAAGAAGGAAATTATTGATTAATTTAAGTTAAAGTAAATATTAGTCTTTTATTATCAATCTATTATCATTAGTAAAAAAAAAAGAAAAATAACTTAAATCAATTTGGATGGGAAATAAATGACATTATATAAATATTTTAATTACAAATATTATGCATTAGATGAAATCACGAATATTTTGGTACAAAAATTGCATTTTTCTTTTTTAACGTTAGTGTAAGTGGTATGTAAATCCATATTTCGTCGAATAAAAACAAGGCAGCTTGCTTATTACAGATTTATGTATTCCTTACAGATATTTAAAAAAATAGTATTGAATGATTGGAGGAACTCAAATTTAATTTAATTATAAACAGATTTAAAAATTCAAAATTTTAAATTAGTACTATTTTAATAATAGTACTAATTTATTTATAATTATGATTATTTTCATAATCGTCACAATGTAAATATTTCTATAATTAAAAGCTCAAAAATTAAAAAAAATATGAGAATTCTTAAAAAAAAAGAAAATTATTTTTTTTAATCTGATCCCTAGTGTGCAAAAGAATGACGAAAGAAAAGGTACAAAACATCATAATGAAGAAAATACGCCTGTTATGTAAAACTATTAATTCCAGAAGAGATAAGATGTTAGGACTTAAATTATGATACGGAGCCTGCTAAAAAAGTAATAGAAAGAAATGCAATAAAACACATAAAAAGACTAACCAAACATATATCGAATACGGAAAAAAAAGCTAAAAATTTGATTAAATGATTACCAAACATAATTGATTTTAAACATAATAAAGATAATGTTTGGATGGAATACTACAAATTATATGTCGCTTATCTGGGCACCTGTAACTATCTATAAGTAGACTGTATGAAAAAGAGGAAAAGGATCTTCTGATCAAAATGCAAGCTCTAAAATACGGAGGGTTCGCCTACACTAATCAGGGGAGTGAGACGACCAGGTAACAATGATAAATTAAGTCTTAAAAATAATAAATATATAAATCCAGTATTACAACCTTACATTATAATAAAAAATTAATAAATAAAATTTCACAAAATATGAATTAAAATAATAATCAGCAATAAAAATCCCATTGGTTCAAAAATAATAAAAACAATTGCCACTTTGGCATAAACAATAATATAAAAAATAGATTCAATAATAATATATAAATATGCATAAAATATATGTATTCAATAAATAATCAAGTTTTCCTGTTTGGTACTGTTACGTCGCTATTTAGGGGTTGAGCCTAAATGCCCGTCGACAGTATTCTAAGGGACCAACGGGGGATAGCTGGCTAGGCTATATCTACCTTAGGTACTGAAGTTTCCTATTTAATTTATATTCCCTTAGAGGAACTACCAAGGGTCACACTACAATATATATATATAACACTTTTGGGTTAACAACGATATAAATAAATATTTATTAAATGATCGAAATATTAAATGGATAATACAACCTGCTGGACACCAAGAGATGATATAATCCAACTGGGAGCTGACGGCGACACACACACACACTATAATATACGGGGTAGCGAAGTTAAGTTAATTATCAGGCAAAAGTAGTGATCGCGAAGATGGTAAAAAGTCAACTGTCGATAGGGATATCTTATTATGGCACATTGGCCGTGAATTGCAAAAAGTGTTTATGTGTGCAGTCCGCCCTCCTGTTAGTATTGCTGTATGTCACTGTGTTAATTATATATATATATATTAAACGATACAATGATGTTCTGGGAGACAGAGAAATGGGCACATGCAAATGTGATCGTATTAGTACAATAATAACGAATAACATAAAATATGATTAAATAACTATAACTGTATAAAAATAAACTACAAAAAGGTTCAGCATTAATATTCTTTTTTTAAGTATAACACACAATAATAAAGATCAAATTACGCGAGCAACAATGAACAACTGGGCACTAATAATAAATTATACCAGATAAGAAAATAATGACTAAATATTTCAAATATGTATGTGTAAATAGAAACTTTGGTGAAATAGTGACTGATTACAGACATAGAACAGTAAACTTAACAAAACATAATATTTAAAGTGCTAACAAGATAAATAATTAGGTGCCGACTTGGCACACACTTAATAGAGAATTTAATGTGCCTACTTAGCGCCCATATTATACAATAGTCATGCGAAGGGTCGACTGAGCGCAGATAGAATAAAAATTAAATATATAGAACACTTTTATATAAGCTTATTGTATTAACCTAATTTCTTCATTGTTTATTAAAGTGAAGGGGGAAGAGTGCAGTCCGACTATGTGAGTCAGACTGCGATTAGGAGTTGGATCTGCGGCTAAAGTAATTGGTGTTAAATTAAAGAGATAATATCTTATTTATATTAATGATTAATATGGCTTGATTATGATATGGCATATATTAATATTATATTATTACCTCAAAAACTTTAATACGTAAAATTTCGTAATTTTCTTGTGACCCACTAAATAGAAGAGATATAATTCTAAAAAATTCGTTTGTATCCAAAGTAACTTTTACATCTTCATTGTATATTGGAGATTTCAACATTTTATTTAATTGTTTGAGGTTGTATGGTTTTCCTATTGGAAATCCTAATTTTTCACTTATGTTTTTTTGCCACTCTGAATCAACTGGTTGAAAACGGTGATTACCAATAACATATTCAGTGATTATATTCCATTTATCAGGTGTTCTATACACACTTGTTACATGTACCACCAAATTCTATAATATCAAATATATGTGAATTACAGATTTAATTTCAACATAAATATAAATGGAGACTTTTTCAGAACCATATTTGTTTTTATTAATAATTTTTTTCAAGTTTAAAATATTAAATCTTAACATCGAGATAAAATATAATGTGGAATTTATTTTAAGCGTTTACTAAGAAATTATACTTAATTAAAACGTTGAAATCTTTTTAAAATATGTAGGATGTCCTACAAGGTTTTTGAGGGTCTCGAGGGAGATTCTATATAATTATTTTATTATTTAAAATACAGTATTTATAAACTGTTTTTTTATGAATTAATATTAAAATATATTCAAAACACATGTAAAAAATTCTTAATAAAATAAATAATTATTGATAAAAAATGATTAATTAAGCAATAAATAGAATAATAGACTCAAGTTAATATGAATACACATGGTTCACATTTAAACGGTTTTGTGAGTCAGAATTTTTAAAGTTTAAAACATTTGATATAAAATATTAAGGATATACTATTTACTCAATATCCATAACAATTGAAAACTTTTGATTTTCGTGACATATAAAACAACATAATCATTGATTATTCATTATTTTGCAGTAATTTGACAGCGAATAGTTACATAGTTATAATCAATGAACCATAGCCTATTTTTATCCATAAGAGTAGTGATGGATAGTGATGGATAGTGTAACTATTCGATAGTTACACAATATATTCGAATAGTTTTAAAAACTATTCGATAGATAATGCTAAAANCTATAAAAAAAATTTTGTGGATCCATAAACTTTTCAATAAGTTATAGCATTATAAAGTTAAATATAATATGAATAATAAAATCGAGANAAATAAATTATTTGTTTGTATAAACACAATTCGAATAGTTATACGATAGTTTAAAATATTTGAAAATGCCGATCACTAATTTTTACTATTATTGATTGTATAATAATTTATTTTAAATATTCGTTAATTATCTTATTATTATAATTAAGTGTACTTAATACAAATTTTAGATAGAACTAATCGAATATTTTTGAAAACCTATTCGATAGTTTATGCTAAAAATAAACTATTCGGTTGTATAAAAACAATTAGAATAGTTATTCAATAGTTTAAAACATTCGAAAATGTCCATCACTACATAAAAGTATCGAAATGTAAAGTAAAAAAAAATGTTGGATAATTTTAACTGATTTGATTAGAAAAACCCAGCACAGGGGGTCGCGGCACAGTTGTGACGTGGTATAGTTGGATCAAGTATAATGATATCTGACAGTGATTAAAATCACTATCAAAAATAAACGCTTCGATGCAAATCTTTAGATAGTGTTTAATTTTAAAAAAATTGGTGTTTTATTCCAAAAGCTACTTGATTTGCTGGTTCCTTAATATCTCGATTAAGATAAAGTATGTCGAATGAAAAAGGGTTTATTAAAAAA